ATAATAATAATAATAATAATAATAATAATAATAATAATAATAATAATAATAATAATAATAATAATAATAATAATAATAATAATAATAATAATAATAATAATAATAATAATAATAATAATAATAATAATACGATAATAATAATAAATAGTAAGGGAAGTAGCGTTTTTCGATTTTAATAAAAAAGACGAGGTAATAAATATATATATATATATATACGATTTAAAGTTAAAAGCGTTAGGGTAAATATTAATAATTAGACTTAGAAAGGTCGGTATTATTCTTAATAATAATAACGAGGGTATTTTTAATATTATATTATTCTAAGTTATTATTACTTAAAAAGGTAATAAACTTAGCTAAGTACGTTATAAGCTTATAAAATAATAATATCGGGCGCTTAATATTATTATTAATAATCTTAAACTTTATAAAAAAAAAAGTTAAAAAAATAGAAAATTTATAAAAATAGTTTATAAAAATAATAAGAGTATTTATTAATATTATATGTTAATACTATATAATCGATATTAAGAACTACTTTAGTAACTAATAAAAACAGAATATAAAATCAAACTAGCTTGTTTATAAAAATAAAAATAGCCCTTAATAAGGCAGGCCGGACCTTAAAAGTTATTAATATTATATATTAATATTATATATTAATATTAAGCTGTTAATCCGTAATTATAAACTTTATAAAAAGGAAAGTTTAAAAAAATAGAAAATTTAAAAAAAATAGTCTAACGAGATAATAAGAATATCTATTAATACTATATATTAATATTTTATAACTAATATTAACCCTTTGGGGTCCGACCTGCTTTATTAGGGGCTATCTTCGCCTTTATAAATAAGCTAGTTTATTAAAGTTAATATTAAGTATTTTTATTATATACTTTAATAAAACTTTATAATTAACTATAGCTAGCCGCAGCCGGCCGTAGCTATTAATAACTATTAATACTAACTAAACTTAAAATATTAATAACCCCGCTGCTATAATATATTAATCGCTTTTTAAATAACTAAAAACTACCCCTTACTTTCCGCTTTTTTTAATAGCTCTAGATTTAGCCTTTTAATCCTACCTAATTTATTTTTATATAGCGATTTTAAAATATTAATAATATTTAAGAATTAGTTAGGTATTTCGAGGTTATTATATTATATAAGCTAGGCGCTAATTATAATAATAGCTACGTTAATATACCTCTTCTTAATTTTTAAGTTAATAATATTTAATCTATATTTTTTAAGACGATCGTACTATAATTCGGGGTCCTTTAATATAATACTTATAGGATCGAACTTCTGGCCCTTAAGGTATCTTTATAGGTTAATAGGTTAGTATTTTAGTATTTCAATAGTATATATTTAAAATAGATAATTTAATAATAATAGTAATAGGGTAATAGTAATAGGGTAATAATAATAGAGTAATAGTAATAAACGGCGAGGGAAGTAGCGTTTTTTAATTTTAAAAAAGGAAAGAAGGTAATAAATATATATATATATATATATATATATATATATATATACGAATAAAGTTAAAAGTATTAAAGTAGATATAGTAAGGTTAGCGCTAACTATTCTTAATAACGGTAATAATAGTATTTCTAATACTACTATTATAAGCTCCTATTATCTAGAGGGCCGTAAACTTAGCTAAGTAAATAGTATATTAATATCTAGACATAAGAAGTCTTAGTAGTAAAAACCGCTAATAGATAATAAATAGGCTTATAAAGTAGTAGCATCGTACTTAACATTACTATTAATCCGTAATTATAAACTTTATAAGAGGGAAAGTTTAAAAAGGTAGAAGAATATCTAAAAAAAATAGTTTAACGAGATAGTAAGAGTATTTACTAATACTATGTATTAATACTATATAACCGATATTAAGAATCGCCCGAGCAGCTAATAAAAGTAGAAATAAAAAAACAAATAACTAATATTAAAAATCGCCCGAGTAGCTAGTAAAAATAGAAATAAAAAATAAATATTAATATAAATAAAAACTACTTAAATAGTTAATAAAAATAATATATAAACATAATTAATAAATAAAATACTTATAGTTTATAAGTTAGATTTCTTAATTCAGTATTTTAAATTATGTTTTTAGTACTCCGAACTAATTAAATAGCCGAGCCCGCCCTTTCGGTACTATAGAAACCGGCGCACGCATTGGCCGAAGTGTGGCTGAAAGTCTGCGCGAGGTTAGCAATGAGAGTAAAAATTGTGGCTGTGCTAAGAAGTTTCCAAGCGTAAAGCCCGCCACTCAGACTAGACTGCTCATCAAGTTCTCATTCTCTTCTTCAAAACCCCTGCGCACTCCGTCAATCAGCAAACTTGATAACGCTGTGTCCACTTATGAACCTCTTGCATAAACGGGCTGCGTTTGATTTGAACTTCATACGGTGCCTGACATCTGATTAAAATTTACCCAGCAGCCTAACGAGGTCGTAACTCCAGACCTAAGCGGCAACGAACATGGTGGCGACAATGCGGATCCGATCAAGCATTGCCTGCGTGAGGTGCAGGCGATCCAAGATTAAATGCGACAACACTGGCCAGCTGGATTCTCCCTGCGAGAACTGCAAGAGGAACGGTAGCAATTGTTCCTGGCCCATTCCAGCTCCGTTGCCACCTAAAAGGCCCATGTCCCCGCTTGACGATAAGCAAGATGCAAGCGTTATAGGCTCTGGGCGGGAGAAACGACCACGAAGGGCTCGCATGGCCAAGGCGCCAAAAAGTAATTGCCACGAGGTTCTACAGGCTATTCGGTGCGTCGACCGAGGGTTGTGGGATAAGATACTGGCTACTTTCCAACAGCATTTTGCCGTTGAACTCCCCTTCATTCACGCACCGACAATCAAAAGGACAATTTATGACTTAACCACTGGGCAAGACCAAGTATCTTTTGATACTTGTCTGGTTCTTCTCGGGATCCTGGCATTGGCAGGGAGATATCACCCAGACCTATTGCCCCTCACAGAGCCCATGTTAGACGTCGGACCCGACTCCCGCAACTACGATAACACACCTCATGACCAACCGGAAGGTCACGCTCCTTATGACTCATTTGCGAGGCTGTTGGACAATTCGCTTGGCTCTTTCCTCAAGGCAACATCTGTTGGATCGGTTGAGCGCGTCCAGGCCCTGCTTATGCTTGCACTTTATGAGTGGATCTCGCCAGATCACGAAGGCCTTTCAGCCTGGATGCTCATTGGAGCAGCGGGACGCATGGCGCAAGCACTCAGGCTCGGACACGAAAGCAAGCCAATTCCTACATGCGAAGAGGCAACCTGCGAACGAGAGATCAGACGCAGAACGATGTTCAGTTGTTTTATTTTCGATCGTCTCATTTCCTGCGGCAAGGAGAGACCCTTCTTCATACGTTTCGAAGATATGCACGTTTATTTGCCATGTGCCAAAGAAGATTTTGATTTGAGCCGTCAAAATCAACAACCGTTTCTCTCCAGCAATCTGTCCGAACCTGAGGCGCTCCATGATTGCAGTCTTCTCGGTTGTTTTGTGCAACTGACAAACATATGGGGTCGAATTTCCCAGTACACGAACGCGGGAGGTCGTTTTTTAGAGAAAAGCGTCCCGCCATGGAGTCATGATTCTTCGTTCTATAAATTGCGGCGAGAACTGGAGACTTTCGGCCACGGGCTCGATAGCCCGGGACTTTATCTAACGATGAGCACTGTTAACTACTTCCGTCACGAGAACACTTCGAGCACTTTCGTCCTCTTGCACCTTCTGTATTCCCTCTGTACGATAATGATCCATCGCCAGTACCTTCCATTCGTTCCCATCAACTGCCAAAAGCCGAGCGGTCCACTAGACGAGCCAACATTTCCGCAAAACGCGGTCCCATTTGGATTCTGGGAGGAGAGTGCCAGCGAAGTGTTCAGAGCAGCAGAGACTGTTGTTTCTTTGATCCGCTTGTCAGGTGGAAGTCTTCCACACTCGCCTCTCGTCGCGTTTGTCATCTATACAGCATCATTTGTGGCAATTTATGCTAAATACTTTCCACACATGGATGCCCGGGGCTCGTTGTCCCGCAATCTAGAACTGTTCAGCCAGGATCCCGGGACTCCGTCGAGTAATGTGTGTAGCAGTAACACCGCCATCATGCTTGACGCCCTGAAGAACATGGCAAAGAATTCAGGAGTGGCAGCAGCATTCGTCGCAAGATCTGGTGAAGTAGATCAATACTTTTCAGCCATGGTCCAGGATCACCATCATAATCTCAGGCACCGTACTTCACCTCAACTGCCCACGGGCGTGAGGCTTGGTGTCCGCATGGGAGGTGATACTGGAGGCCTGGAAGAATGGGTGGAAAATTCCGACAGAATGGTCAGCAATAGCTCAATCATGAAGGACGGTTATTCTAAACGAGATCTCGACCGGACGCGCCTCGAGAATCCGACTCTCGAGAAAACCACACAACAGGATGTTTCCGCCCGGCCCAGCTTGCCTACCACGCTACTCGAAATATCTCCTCTCACGGCCTCAGACTCACGAAATCAACAATCTACACTGGCCACTGAGAAAGCGTCAGGCGCCAAGGATCACATGCAGCCTCCGCCATTGAGTTTGGTACCCACACAGGTTACGAGCGAGGACCAATCCGTTTTACCGGAAAGTACATGTGCCGACGACTGGAGCTGGGCCTTCCTTCACGACATGTACCTAGGGAGTGTTTCGTTCGATTCGGAGGATATTTAGCTTAGCTCAAGTTTATTACATGGAGCATTCGGAGCACGTCCCGGAATACATATGACGGGAGTTTACAGACAACTATATGCCCTGGGACCATCAACAAGTACTTAGTTAGCTTTTCATCACAGTGAATCTGTAGAAGATGAAGGGTCAAAATCGTGAGCACGCCTCCAATCCTGTGCATGACTGTCACGCCGCCCATATCAACCACATGATGGAAAAGTCGTAAGCTATCGAGATTAACATGATTCCAAGGTCAACGCCAGGCTTTCTATACTGTTTCTGCTACCAATAAATGCAGGTGGATTATTTCGTCAATCCTCAACAAACTTCAATCCAAACTACTTGGCCTTTCCGCAACAGCTGTTGGAGTTCTTGAAGTGCCGCAATACTGATTGTGGCGTTGACACTATGCATGGAATATAGGTCATTGGAAGTTGCTACGTCAGGGTGGTATAACACCAGCAAGCGATGGCAATGGTTGTACACACAACCTAAATCGTTCAGCGACCGCGCACTATTATTCATCTGTGAGGTACACTTAATACAAGCCAAGCACCTTCGAGTTAGGTTGATTCTCCATCCCGCAGATAATTTCCCACGACGAGAATTGATAGAACGAGAAGAGCTATCATTAATGTCCGACAGTTGAGATCCATGGGGTTCTTCAGAGCCCGTTCAACCAAAAAGACCGTGGCCCGTTGAGGAGAGCCGCATGGATGGAAGGAGCCAGGCAATGATAGAGTGTAACGTGATGACCTCATGTCTATGTAGTTGTCAATCATGTACTATGATTCGTGAACGTCCTGCGCGAGCGTTATTCCTCATCCTAAGCTTTATCAATGGCTGTCAAATGCTTCGCTACTTTCTCCACCAGAGGGAGCAGTTTGAGTCCTGAGGATTGGTCCGGAACACTGCCATGAACGACGTGTTCAATGGCTCGGACCAGGAAGATAAGAAGAAGCGTCACTAGTACCATGATATGAATAGGACGATTATAGATCCAGTCAAGGTGAACTTGGGCTTCTCCATATCCCCTTTACGGTCAGCGTCGCGTTGCTCATCTGTCTCAATGACCTCATCGAAGATGCTGCTATGGCTGTTGGCCTGATACCAGACGTAACGTATTTGGTTTTTTATTATTTTATGCACTACGTGCGTAAAAAAAGCTCACCCTGTTTATTCATATTTCTATATATGATTTCCCTTTGATGGTGTATACTAGTATATACATATCTCGTAAAGTTAAAAAGCATGATAGGACCCTGTAATACGCGCAGAGCTTCTGCTGGTAAAGGCACCCCTATAGGACGTCCAGCCGTACCACCAGCCACATATCCTGAAACGTTGTTAGCAAAGTGGTAGTAGGCGGGCGGGCCGCCATGAGAAGATGGCTACGCTTTTGCTAGTAATAGCTCCCGGTAAATCACTGTAATCGCCAGAGGCTCAGACGTGAAGTATAAAGGCAACAATGAGAGCAATCGAGATTGCCTGACTAATGCGGAGGACATCGGCTTGAAGAGTGCCCTCGGTGAAATTCTCGTGGCTCACCTAGATCCCAGGGAGGTTGGAAATTGTCTCGGACTTGAGGGCAGAGTATAAGGTACTTGGGATCAAGAGTCCGAAGGCAGCAACTAAAAGTAGTCCATTGCCGAACTCGGACACAATGGCATGAAACTTTTGGCATTCATGGCGGACCCCCTCTGAGTAAAAAAAAAAAGCACGAACGAAGGCAAAGTAATAAGTTCGTCAAGATGCTCCCGAGAATCGGGGCTTGGATGACAGGAATGAGATTGTTTTCATCGCTGCTCTCTCGAGGGACGGATGTCTCGTGCTTCAGAATGGGCACAATGAACGGAATTATCTCGACAAGGAATCCAAACGTCGTCTCGTTCAATAGACCAGCTACCTGGGACATCTTCCAGGCAAAATCTTGTCCGGCAAACCCAAGGATATTCGCTAACAGCACGACAGCTACATCATAGGCAGTGGCAAACTTGGAAAGTTGCAAACCAGGCAAGAACTGCAACACAAAGGCAATCGATAAAAGAGTCCAGAATACGTTGACCAACATTGAGCCAGTACATGACCTTTGCCAAATCACATAAGGTAGAGGAAGTGGCGGATATGAAACCCGCTGGGTCCATTTTCGCCCTCATGTGCAATGCATCCTGAGATTGAGTGATGTGCGACACGAAACGCATTCGTTGAGAGAAGCGGGGTTGATTCGTGGTTGTGCTCCACGATACCTTGAGCAGGCAATGGCGAAGAACTGATTTTGTGATCGCCCGCCATCTGTGGGAGGGAATTCCCAGAGGCCCGGTCGAGTTTTGTAAAAACGAACAGCGAGGAGCAGAGGATTAGGTGTTGATTGTAGGAGATGCTCGGAGCTGTAGTTAAGATACAGACAAAAAGGAGAAGAACAAGAAGGGATGTCACGAAGCAATCTTGCTCACAACTCTTGCTTGTTATACACTGCCATGGGCCGCTAGTGTGTGACTAGTATCCATTCTTTCAAAAGCGGCGAAGGTGTCCTTCTGTGTTGATGTGACATGGATAGTTCATGAGTGTTGTGATGTACAAGAAGGCATTGGATTCCTTCTTTACGGACCTGGACTTCCGTGAAGGCTCGACAGCAGATGGCTATATTATCGGATGAAGCAAATAGCTATCCCCGGATATTGCTGAGAACCTACTGTGTAGTTGCCAGAAAAGAAAGTCAATTGATATGATGGGGCTATCCAAGGTACACTACCGCTATATCTGAAGCTAATAGCGTTCTGCATCGCAGCTGCGTTCCATACATTCATTACTGAGGCAACGTACTTAATTGTTCGGTGGTCTCAGTTCGGTCTACAATCGCAAGTGGCACAGGCTATCTCTCCTGAAATGCTACTTATCCACAGGTAGCGCCGTCCTGTTCCTACCCCTTCGGCATCGTCTACTTATTCATTGATATCGAGTCAAGCAAATTGGTCGATTGTTTCGACACATTTGACACTTGACGGTTCCTTCGATCTAAGCCCTCCATCGCTCTTGAAAAAACGTAACACGAGGAGAGGAAAGGCAGAAACATATAGCTTCTGGCCTTGCTCGCTCAGACCGTGGTGTAGCCAAATACATTGTGAGTTGAGTATTCATTGTCGTGCCAGTCGCGTTATGCATCGTACATGTAGAGTTGACAGGCCCTCACGAGAAAGGTTCATCACGACTGGACCCAAAGTCATGAGCAAAGACCATGCGTGACACACCTAATACCCGAGCGTTCACTTTGTTACCTTTGATCCCCTAGGTATACAGCAGAACCAGCTTGAAGAGCGGGTGCTTACGTATGGTCAAACAGGAGCCGGCGAATTTTGATAGTCTTTGCAGTGTTGCACTGACTTGAGAGCCGAGCGCCGCTCTCTGACCCCACCTAGACGCCCGCAAGCCAGGATTCTGGCCCGTCCGTCGTCTCCCCGCAAGTCCAACTGCCATAGAGCAGAAAGTCTCCCTTCCCCGCGACCATTTTGCAGCCAGATACGCCAAGATGTTCTGCCTCACTGTGCCACACAGAGACAGGGTAGGTAGGCTTCTCGTAACTCTGATAAGGCGACAAGATGTCACTAGATGAACCAGGAAGCAGTCACCTTTCAGCCTCCACGAGTTGACACCTATCAGCGAATCATACACTGCTTCGAACGTTTAGGCTTCTTCTCCATGTTTCTAATAACAGACATGAATGTTTTCGTTTTACGCTCGAAACCTTAAATGGAACCAGGGAAGTGTTGCAGTGGCGGCTACACGCGGAATGTCTTCTGTCAACATCAGACGATGTTTGATGAGGAGACAGACGCGAAACTCTGAACGGAGTCTGACCTTGTGACAGAGTGTCCCGCCTCCTGCTGTTCTATTTCTTTCATCTCCATCCCAGGTGAAGTGGCGAGATTGTTCCCATCGTTCTCTAAACTTCCCTCTGGCCCCGACACAGCTGCGCCCTCAATACTTGGCTCATACAGGTATCTCACCATACCGTCACTGGCAAGTAGTAATTTTATTAAGCAGCTCTGGCTGCTTTCTGTTCGTCGCATCGATTGCTGACTCACCTCCCAGAGGCCATCCAGAAGCCACACAACCACGAGACGATTGTCACGTTCGTTTGATTCAACACTGCAAGATGTCAGAAAGTCCTACCACTGCTTCGCGCAACCAAAGAGATCCTGGTAGTCCGACTATCACGGGCATCCCGTCCATTTTGACAGTTCTTCGCGAGCCTGAATCCTTCTCGACGATCGACGACAGGCGAGGGCAACAGTACCGCCAACAATCTCCAGAGACTGCCTCGAAGCTAGCGCGCGAGACTCTCATCAGTATGTGTAAGACAATTGGTCTGGTCGGCGCACAGCTTAATAATGGGACGAATGACTCCGACTTCCAGCTCAGGCAGCTCATTCACTTGGCACGCAACATAACCAAGCGGCTTGACAGTCCTGAGCTAAACGGGCAGAACGGACACGCCGGCTCCCCTCGTTTGGACTAGATAAGAAATTCTCTGGGTGTCAGAACACGGCGAAATAGCTCGTTCGCAAGATGGAAAGCCGTCAAACTGAAAGGATCGCAGCGTTTCCGGAAGGCTTGCAGTTAAATACATGGCACAGTCTGAGGAGAAGAGTTGCGAACTGAAAAGAGGGGGGGGGGGGATCATATGGAAGCATGGGGCTCCAAGGAAGAAACGACATTATATCTACATTTTGAGACCTTGACAATTTTTGCCTCGACAGATTGAACGATAGTAAGTCGCACAGCCGTGATCAATTCCCGCTGACGTCTCATTGAGATATTGAGTGCTCCCACGTATTGATGTCGACTCGCGTACAGGGTTAGCCAACTTAGTGAAAGTAGACTCGAACTCATTGCCTCGATATTCAATTCTACAGCTCGGCGGCTTGTTCTTTCAGAGACTTGCTTCGCTCAGCCTCAATAACTTGGCAATCGAAGACTTTAGCAATACCCTAGAATGCAGGACA